ATATCTTAAATTAACCTATTTCTCTTAATCTGTGTATCACTATGAGGCTGTGGCTTACCATTAATGTTCTGGCATCTTTCTTCTTTGGCAGCTACATGGCATCTTTTTGACTTCTCCCACTCTTTTTGTATATTACTGTTTATATTTCCCACCTGGATTTACTCTGCTGAGCCATTGGCCAAAGCATCTTTATTCATCAACCAATAGAAGCAACACATATACAGAAGGGCAAACCACATCAGTCCCTCACCCTTGCTACTTCCTGCCCTCCCCAAATTAAAATTAAACTAAAAAGAAGAAAACAAAGCAAAGCAAAACCAAGTCTGATTTGTGTTGCTTATATACTCACTGGAGCAAGGCCAAACTCTCAGTGGCCTGCCCCTTAAGCAGGACTGAGTCTTTTCCTCCTACACCATCAGTCTTGGAGAGCTAACTTCAACATCCTTTTCATATTTTTAAAGAGTTATCCTTGATGGATTTCTGTTTATGCTGTTACCTTTTGGAGGTGGAGTGGGAGTAGGGGTTGTCACAAAGCCTTCCATGTCCCTCTTTCTCAGCTGTGCATCTGCAATCATTGATACCACTGCTCTTCACAGTCAGTGGGAGCACAGATCAGAGGCTTCCACCTGTCTTGTGGTGGCAGCACAGAACATGAACAGAGCCCTCTACTGCAGTAGGACCACAGACCCAGGCAAAGCCCTTAGAAGAAGCTCAGATCATGGACATCAGCTTGGCCTCAGATGGCAGAACAGACCACTCAGGCCAACATAGCTTCGGGGATCAGCCCAGACTGTGTCCATCCCCATGGTCTTTGGTGGCAACACAGGCCACAGACATCAACACAGACCCTGACTACAGCAGGCCTTTGGCCCCAGAAATAGCTCTTGAGGGAAGTATGGATCTGGAAATCACCAAGGGCTCAGATAGTACTGCAGGTCGTTCCCATCAACCTGGTCCTCACTGCTGTTGAGTCTCCACTTCCGCCTCTCTCGACAGTGGAATGACCGCTCATTCTGCTTCTCCCCCATCTTTCCACCACAAACGTGTTCATTGCAGTGGCGATGCAAGGTGGTGCAGCCTGCATGAAGAGGCTTTTAAAGTTAGAGTAGAGTAGTTAAAGTAGAGGCTTTGGAGTTAGAGTAATTTTAAGACATCAAAATTGAAACATGAAATGAAAAGCAAGACTCTTTGCTTGGAATTCCTTGTCATGTAGTGTTATGGTTACTATAAATGTGTATTCAGCATTGTCCTTAGCATCTATGCCACATATGGGCAGATTTTGCACCAAGAAAAAATTTTCCCTTTATTATTATTATTATTATTATAAAAAGGTAGAGAAAAGTGAAAAATGTGATGAGGTTGCTTAACTTGCTCAGGTGTCTATAAATACCCAGTCCTCAAGCTGCCCATGAATGCCTCAATCTAAGCTACAATGTACATTTGTGGCAAAATGATTTGCCTACAGACTGTTCTGATGCTAAGTAGTAGAGCAGAACATGGTTCAGTGGTCATAGCAGATATAAAGTGGAACCCAGCCGTGCTGCACAGAGCTATATGCCCGAGGTCAACCAAGGATTGAGTAGTAAAAGGCTCCTGGCAGCAGAATGGAGTCTAGAGAGATTGGTTGGATTTTCTGGACTAGGTCAGGAGGGAATACTGCAGTAAAAAGTATCTTTTGCTGGAATATTTTACCGAGAAACAGATTCCAACCATGAACTTTGAGTAAAATCCATTTCATTGACTGAATAAAGAAATGCTAAGATGCAATGGGGAAAAGTTCTTCCAGAAGGCCAAGGTCAATCCAGCTAAAGGAAGACGATTGCACTTGGCAGAATTGGTCGGTGGGCTACACAGCTTCACACCTGAGCTTTGGAAATACCTGGTGCTACCCTCGTCTTTAGATCTTGCTTTTCTTAGTGGCTGACAACTTTGAGACCTGTTAGGAATTGTAATTGTCATAAGAGCTCCAACTTTCTGTCTTCCATCACAGAGAAAGAGTCTTAACCTGTGCAGTGGTCTGAATGAGACCGGCCCCTGTAGGCTCGTAGGTTTGCATGCTTAGTCTGCTTTCAAGGAAGGATTAGGAGGTGTGCCCTTGTTGGAGGAGGCAAGTCCTATGGGAGTAGGCGTGTCCTTGTAAGAGTAGGTGTGGCTTCTTTGGAGGAGTTGTGCTTCTGGGGTGGGCTTTCAGGAAGATATTTGTGTCTGAAAGATGAACCAATGGTGGCATCTAAAATTTGAATGCTACCCAGACCTGGAATCCTGGCTCAGGTGTATAAATAAGCTCAACGCTAGGCTAGATCTTGTCTTTGATTTCATAACCCTCTTTTCTATCAATCTAACTAGATATCCAAAAGTTTGAGCATATAGTACACCAGCCTTGGAGTGGTACCCCTTTGTTTGCTTCCTTCCTTCTCTCTCTCTCTCTCTCTCTCTCTCTCTTTCTCTCTCTCTCTCTCTCTCTAATCTTCTTTGCCTCTTCTTTCCCCTTCCTCTCTTCTATTTCTTGTACTCTCTGTTTATTATTTTTTTTCTTTGACAAGATCTTGCTGTGTATCCCAGGCTGGCCTTGACCTTGGCTTCCCAGTCTCCTGAGACCTAGGATGACAAGTGCCTACAACTCTAACTGGTTCAGTTCAATTCTTTCCATAGGCATATAGCCAATTTCAATCATGTTTGTCATGCAGTTTGTCACATAACTTCTTGTGTCAACTGTTGCTGTGATCCTCACTATCTGTGGTTTGATGTGAAACCCACCATTGTTTGAAAGGGCTCTTTGACAAATTCAGCTGAGCGTTGAGGGGCTTCTGGAAGATCAATAAATCATTATAATAGCTTTCTATCTTGGGAAAATCTTGTGCCTGCTTAATAATCATGTGCAGAGGCCATTATGTTGGGTCTCAGACTGAAATTCTATAGGTCTCTGCTTTCAATAGAAGAGGCTAAATTAAGCTAACTCTGTGGGCTTGTCAGCCCATGATTCTACATGACTGAATCTTCTGTTCTGTGTCTTCAGGGAGAAGAAATGCTGGTAGGAATCTGCTGGGAACACCAGATGAATAACTCAAGTTTCAGGTTTTACAGCATCCTTCTCCTTATCTGTTCTTTTGAAAATTTTAGTGTGATTGTGTTTGGTACTGTGCTACATGAGGCGACTTTCCTGCAGGGTATATACGATGTGCAAGCATCTCTTTCTCACACTCTCAACTTCTCTTTTCTCATTCCTCTTTATTCCCATCAGACTCTTTTGGTCCCCAAGACAGGTTCACTTCTATTTTCATATCACATATACATATCTCACTTTATGCATTGATTAGACATCTAGGAACCACGGGTGCAATATTTGATTTGAGAGCACACCCACACAAAAATATTTGCTTTTCTGAGCCTGGCTTAATTCACTGAGTATGGTTGTTACTAGTTGCTTGCATTTCCTGCAAGCGATATGAGCTCACTCTTACCAAGTAAGAAACGGTTTATTGGGTACTGTATTTTCTCTTTTATCCATCTGCTGTTAGACACAATGGCTGGTTACATAATTTCATTGCACTAAAGTGATATGTTGACTTGTAAATACCAAAGACTTATCCAGCATCGTCCTGTGATAGACCTATTTTTAATTGTATGAGAAAGCTGCACACTGATTTCTAAAGTGGTTTGGGCAGTTTTCTGTCTCATCAGCACTGTGTAAGGGCTCACCTTTATCCACACCCCTGTCATCCTTAGTTGTTATTTATTTTCTCAATGACTACCATACAGACTAGGGTGAGGTGGAATCTCAAAGAAGTTCTGAGTTGCAGTTCTCTGATTGTTCTTTTTCTCTATATGGTACCTAGGAAGTGGCCTTCATGAAAACCATACTGCTTCTATGCTTTCAGTGGACTAATGTATAAACATGCTTATGTGATATGTGATAAATACATATATGGATACATATATACTATAATATAATCATGCATATATAATAATAATATAGGCATATTCTAAAACACGTGTTTGACTTTATTCTTGTGCTAACAGAAAATATGGTAGTTCATAGACTCCAGGTTCAAATTCAGGTAAAGCGAGTAGTTGGCGTGTACTTTAGTTCATTATGTTCCCCATCTTTGTAGAAACTTTATAAATACTTAGTAAATACAAGGTCGTGAAATAAGGCTGACAGCGGCTGGAACAATTCTCTTTGGCTAACCCAGGTTCATTCTCATCCACCAGATGTGACACAGAGTGTCAGAGTCGAGAGGCTGTATTAGCTGCTTTTGTCACCACGGTGACCAAATACTTTACATACAAATGCAACTTCAGGGAGAGACAATTTATTTTGGCTGACAGCTCAAGCTATAGTCTTTGGGGACAGAGAAGGCTTGGCAGTGGGGAACGGTATCAACGATGACAGAGGTGGGGAGCAGCTGCTCTTTTCATCTATCACCCACAAAACGGCAGAGAGAACCCAGGTGGCGAGGAGGGTGGAATCTAACGCTCAGATCCCAACCCCTAGTGAGCCACTTCCTCCAGCTAGGCCTTCCTCCCCAAAGATTCCACAAAGCTCCCCAAATGGTACAATTAGCTCCTGCTCATACACGTGTTCCCTTTACACAAAAACCATAGCCCCGACTTTTGCTCTCCTCGTGGTTGCCTTTTCTATTTCAGAGACCTGCGCTTCCAGATACACAGGCTGTGGAGTCTGGGTTTGGAAAATGACAGAAGGCGGAGCTCGGCAGGAGAGAGGTTCCTGTTTGGTTACAGTCCAATGGTCTGGTAACTGTAGAGGACGCTGGTAAACAGAAAGGTACGCACTGACATTTGCTATGTTCCCCAGTAGCCGGACCCCTCCTAGACCCAGTAAAGAAGTCCCATAGGTTTTACATTGTACACTAAAACGTATGTTTAATCAGGTTACTTAGAAAGCCTGTAAGGGATTTTGGAGTCAATGTGAGACTGCTTCCACGTGTTGTCACGGGAACGTTTGTCCACCTTTTACCTCCTGTTTCTTTTTTTTTTTTCAATGATAGTGGTTATGCAACACAAAATATGTGGCAATGTCTTAAGTTTATTCAGATTTTAGGCTCCATGGCCTCGTCCAGCCTTTTTAATGGGGGGGTGCAAACCTCTCCTTGCATACAACACATCTTTTGTCTGTGATTTGTCTTAAGATAGCTCGTGATGTTTCTGGGTCAGTCATTATCAAAACCATAAAACCATGTGATCTTGGTTGACAAAATCTTCAGGGGTCTCTGTTTTCATATTGGAAACAAGTTAGACAAAAATAGAAGTTAAGCACACTTTTTTAAATTAAGCACGAGCTCAATTAAGAAGAAAAGCAATCTAGGAATTTATTTACTCATACAAAAAGCAATGTTCACATTTCTGTGAAGTTTCTTGCTTTTAAGTTCATGACAGAGGCATGGGCAAACCTCTTATAAGCTGTACTAAAGTGGACATAAATGAATGTGATACTTCCTCTGGTATACCATGACTAGATTCCAAACTCCTGATCCTGGATTTCATGCTTGAAATGTGGTTATTTCCCTTGCGAATACTGTCAGCTTTGGCGTATTGCAATAGCTAGTGGCGATTTAGTAGACTACCCTATTTCACACGACCTGCAAGTTACAGCGGCTAAGATTTCCAGCCAGCAAAGCTTATCAGTGCTGAGGCACTTGGCTATTACGGCCTTGTTGAAGGGATTGGGTCTTAATCTCGTCCTCATAGTTTTGCTGTGCTGACTTGGAAAAATTATTCCAACTTTTCACATTCCAATTTCTTTATTTCAAAAATTAAAAAAAATATTCACCTTTTCTGGGTTTTTTTATATGAGTTTATACATTTAAAACACTTAGTCGAGAAACTGATAAATTATTTTCTCCAAATGGAAAACAGAATAGGAATAAAAACCATGAGTATGAGTGAGTGAACCATCATTTCCTTCATCTCTAGTGCTAAAGAGGTTATAATATCTTTACTCTAGTGGCAATAAATGTCACACACACACACATACAGAGGGAGAAAAAGAGAGAGGAAGAGAGATGGGGGAGAGAGAGAGAGAGACTGAGAAATTCTCTACATTGAAATTATTTCTCTACTCCTTTCTAGCCAAAACAGAAGCTAGTTGAAATAACAGTAGTACCCTGTTAGATAAATCCTTTAAACGCTATAACAACCTGTAGTTTCTTAATTGTAAAGGATATTTCTGTAATATTTTGGGTTGAGAGATTATTGACATTTGATATTCTTTGGTCAGAAGCTTTTCCACAGTTGGTCACAACAACTGGAATCCATTCAGCTTGCATATACTGTGAAATACCCATCAGGCATTCCATTTCTTCATGTGTTTACACATGTATGTCCATCTAATGCCAAAGTCATGTTTGCGGTTCTAGAGACATGCTTCACCTTGTTCTTTTATTTCAAAGCCTGTTCACAGAACATAGGGTATCTCTTATGGGCACCACATGTATACAACAGGCTACAGGTTGCTGACAATCTTGTATTTTCTAGATGTCTACATTCTGAGTTAGCATTCATGCCATAGTACCCTGGAGGATGCTCATTTCCATGACGTAGGGCTATAACTGATGCACTCCAACTACTTGGTAGCATTTAGGAGCCCAAGTTAAACACGCGAGGTATCATCTAAAGCAGCCATGGTACCGAGGGATTACCTTTTCTTCTGTCACCTCCTAAGTTTTCAAATCGAAGATACTGACTGGCGGTTTGAAGTTGGGAAAAAGAAGAAAGAATGCCTAGGGGGGAAATACATTCCGACCTTCTGAACCCAAATGCGGAGACTGCAATAGTAAGATGATTTCCCGTTCTGAATTCGCAATATTTTCTTCTGAGCTGCTGGTATTGCGGCACTGGATTAAATTGAAACCCTCACTTGAAGTGAAGAAAGAGGTGGAGGACGGAGTGCAGTCAGCTGCACACAGTCTCAGGCAGAGTCTGGCCCTGAAAGCACTTCCTGCTGCCTTGACAATTTCTCTGTCTCTCCGACTATGGAAATAATGACTCCGGTAGCGCCGCTATTCTTCCTGTTCTATGCTGTAGTCTTTCTCCCTGTCCATGTTTTTTTCCCTTAATTAGGATGATCTGCCATTTCCCACTACGGCAAGTTCTGTAAAAGCCATGATTCTCCAGGTTGCTAGGTGGCGAGCGAAATGATCAGTGAGACCTGCTTCTGGCAGGAAAATGAAATCATTTTTTATGTTAAATAAAATAACTGCAGGATTCTACCATAGCCCAGCTCTGACTGGGGAATCATAAAAGATGAAGTCAGAGGGTAGAACTCTTTGATCAAACGGATTACCTTTAGACAAAGCTTGTAAGAAAGAACCTCAGTGCCAAAGCCACACAGCTGTAAACCCAAAAGCAGTGTATATATAAAAAAGGGCCACTTATAGGAGTGGGAGAGTAACAAAGCAAAGTCTCATTAGGGACTCGGGCAGGAAGCTACAAAAGGACAGCTTTATTTTCTTGTCCATCAGCCTGAGCCATGATGGAAATGCACTTCAGGGAAATACGATGCTGCATGTGCTATGCTTGTCCAAATAAGTATTCCAGGGGACCCACATGCCATTTCAAAATGTTCTTGCGTGCTAACCAAGACATGCTGATGGGGTGGGCCAAAGGTCTGACCTCTTCATATGTCTTCATATTTGCTTCAAGACTCAGCTTTAGCTCCCAGTAGTTTCTGGGGGAGCTGAGTATGGACGGAATGAGCTGGAGCGCTGTGGGAGGCTGGGCAAATGGTGGGCAGTCTAGAGAATTCCGTACCGTGATTCATTTCTCTCAAGTAAGGCTGATGCTCGTTCTCCGTAAATTGCTGCCGTGCTGGAAACAGCGTGGTTGTGCCCTTGCAAAATGAATGAAGTCCCGCGGATGCATCAATCTTCAAAGGGCTTTCATTTTCTCTGCGTAACAAGTAGCTTTGCTAGGCTACAATGATGGTCTCTTAGCCACACGAAGACCAGCCCTTTCTGAATGAAGGGATGAAGGCAGCATTTAAGGAATGTCAATGAAGTCTCTTGATGTGTACTTTTCTGTGTGGTTATTTTGCAAAACATGGGTTGAAATCAATGTAGCAAAGATATATGTGACCTGCAGGATGCAGATAACCCCGTTGGGTGTCATTGGGATACCATCAAGGACATCCTTCCAGGGTTTAGCAGCAATTCGAAGAGATAATTTTGACTGGAGTCATGTGTATGCCACTTTTCCTTTCCTACACTGACTTACAGATATTGCAAGATGTTGATATCTCTCTGTGTGTCTCTCTCTGTCTCTATCTCTGCCTCTCTGTCTCTTTCTCTCTGTCTCTGTCTCTCTCTCTCCCTCTCTCTCTCTCTCTCTCTCTCTCTCACACACACACACACACACACACACACACACACACACACACGAGCCACTGAGGAAGTCTATGGTGACCTTAATCTACACTGACTTCCTTCCAGGTGACAATACTAAACATTCGCATGTGTATGTGGTAGAGAAAAGCCATTGTATAATTATTAGCCTCACGTGAATATAGGGCCGTCCTTCACATTCTTGCTCTGCAGGGCTGACTAAACAAGGGTGGAAGGTGTTTTCAGCCCTTGGAAAAGGCACATCTGAGATGCCTGTGGTCTGTAATTACCTGGGGGCTGACAGTTGCTGAACAGCACCCCTAACAATACCTGACTCATGTCTTAACACTTTACTCAGGCGGAAAGCAAACTATATTATGACCATCACAGGGGCCAGAGCTCACTGCCAACTTCTGATTCATCACTCCCCAGAGTTAGAGGGAGAGTGTTCCAGAACTCCATCTAAGGACACCCTCATAAACTCACGAATGTCTTACTTACAGTTATAATCACTGATGTTTAGATTATGGGATTCCAGGAAGGGAGGTGATGGGGAGTCTTAGAGCCACGAACAAATTCTGAGCTGTTCAGAAAAGTGTCCTGTAAATTAAAGATATAATTATCTGGATCACTGTGATCATTATTTCTCCCTCAACAAGTTTCTAGATGTTTGGTTAGAAATCAAAAGAGTGTTGGAATGTGCTTCTCAGACCTGGGAGACATGTGGGCTCTGGAAAGTAACGTCTGCCTTCTAGCCAAGTCCCCAGGGCCTGTTGACTCACACACTTCCACAGGCAAGTGGTGACACCGTCCGTTCCGTTCCCCACCAGTGCTGTGCCCTGTATTTGAGTCACGTGACTGAGTGCGACTGTTATGGCTAATAAGAAATACACATTCAACTCTAATGAACAGGACAGAGAAGTCATCAGAGAGAAAAGTTCTTTCTGTTTTTTCATGGGATTGTATACTGAACGAAAGGAGAAGATGTCATAAAAAAGACCATTATGATACAGCTTAAGAAGAGCAGGGCAAAGCCTTCATAAGTATGTTCTAATACTCAGACATATTTGAACTATATTCTCAATAATATAGGAGCTGCTGTCAACGGGAACACCGCTGGGAGAGTGGAGATGCACACACTGTTGGGGCATTGATGATAGAAAGAAAAGCCAGAAAGAAAAAACCTCCAGTGAAGGTTGAGTTGAAGAGGGTGGTGGAGGCCAGAATATCTGTTGATATTATATGGTGTGCCTTGTAAAATGTTAACTAGACCATCCATCTTCCTTATAGGAGGGCACCTAAGTTGCTCACTTATGTCACGTGGACCTGTATGTGTACATTCAGGCTCAGTGAGAGAAGCAATGAGTTCTGAGCCCAAATTTACTGAGCGAGATCAGCAAGGACACATGTGGGTGACTCAGGAGGTAGAAGACTTCAGAAGAGGTAATCTAGAATCCAGGATACATCTTTTCTTTCTGTAGCTGAGGAAACTGTCAACTAAAACAAATTTTCGGGAGAAAGCAAGACCCTAATTATGTTTTATAGTATCTGGCCCCAAGAAAGGAGACACACAAATGCTGTTGGATGAAAGAGCCTAAAGGAAAGGAAGAAGACAATGAAATTTTGTTAAAAACATCTATTATCGTCACTAGCATTTAATTATCTTAAAGAGAGCAATGCTGTTTCCACATTTCTTAACTTTTCCAGCGCTATCGCTGTCATACTTTCTAAGCTTCGTGGTACTTGCATCCTTGGCTTATTTGAATTGAGAATACTTCTTTCATC